AAATATTAAATGTGCATTTCAGTGTAAAATAGTTAACTTTTTGCACCGTTGCCGCTCTGTATGAACCTTTACACTAGTGTTACTATTTACATTTAAAAATTGATTAAATCGATAATTTGTTCATGCAGTTATCTACCTTAACATTAGATTCTTAAGTAATATTTTTATGTGTAATCTTAATGTCAATATTTAAAATATCAAATCAGTTGAACACGAAAATATATATTGTTTCAAAAAAAAAAAAAATAATAATAATCTGTTAAAAGCATTTAGTAATCAATCTTTACTTAACGGTGCAGAGTAATTAAAACTCCTTTGTTGACATAGTAAGTTGTTCATTATTTTTTATTAATCATCTAACTTCCGTTCATTTTATACATAGATATAAGGTATATGTATGTTTGTTGTCAATTATATACACAAGGTACATAACTGTTATATCATAAGATAAAATAAAAAAAATTGCACTATTATTACTGCCGAAAACAATCATTGTTTCGATTTGTTATGAATTCAATAAATTTTTATAAAAACATGTGGACATTTTATCAGCGGTTTTCTAATGCCGTATTAAACTATACGGTAATAACAGTATTAGCGTAAACTGACCTTGTTCACGTTAACATAAAACTGTCAGAAAGAAATTTAACACGTATTTGACTATAATATCATATTATTATATACGTATTTCGACACACATAATATCATACATATATGTATAAATTGTACATTTTCTGTGGTATGTTTTATGTAGCTTCGCTTATGAAATTTTCGCACATATTTATCTATTATAGACTATAATTTACTCACAGCATATATTTACGGCGAATCCAAAAAAGAAACCATTACCGACGACCGTTTTTTCCCCTATCGAATTTAACGCAGAATACAAATCAAACACTTCTCTTCCCGACTTAAATTCTGTAACACACATACATACGAATGTATGGTAATGACTATACTACTCCGTCGTATAAGTTGGTGTGTGTGTATGTGTGCGTGCACGTATACGAGTTTGCTGTACATACGCCATCACTACGATAGCCGGCTGCGAATTACTGTCGACCATAATATTGCGTTGTTTATCTGACGGGTCTAGGTCTCGTCTTTGGGTGTATAATAATAATATTATAATAGCGAAAGTTTATCGTCACCCGTGTGTCTGGTACATCTGCACCATACTAAGGTGAGTTCTGGTCACTTCAACTCAATTTTTCTAAATACATACATTTATCATGATGATAAAAAACGAGATATATGCGTGCATGATCCAACTCGAGTATATTCAATTGTACATTATAATAATATATTTCCGGTAGAAATTTAAATACAAAATTGGTATTATTATAATATCATATGTGTAGGTGTAGGTACACCGTTGAAATTTTATTTACGATGAAATTTATCGGTTTCACAACGATATTATTTTTATTTATTTTTTATTCATTCTGGGCAGAATTAATAAACATTTTTATATTTATTTTTATTTTAGGTACTTATCAATACAAGCAAGCATTTTCATATTTTATAAATTATTTTCAATCGATTAAAAAAATAAATTACCAAACAATAAAAAACTAAAGTTTCTTATATTGAAATAATATAATTTATTTAACTCTTGATAACTTAAAAGAATCAAAATAATAAAAATAAATACATGAGTATATACAATATTTATAGGTTTGTTATTTATTATAATCTCCAAAACAGAAAATAAACAATGATGAACACATCAATTATTTTTACCTTAGAACAATTTATAACAGGTACCCAAATTTAATAAAAATTATAATTATATTACCTAAATAAAATTAATTAATAATATAATAAAATTAATCCATTAAATGTTTAACGAGCTGCGTAAGCTTTAAATATGTTTAACTCTTGTTACGAATGTCGAATATAATTTATCAATGTAAACTTGTCACTCAGAAATTTTTTTCATGTCAGCCACCTTGCTATTATATTATATACAAACTTAAAAATTCAGATTGGTTAAAACATTTCCATTTCCCAAGAATGAAAACTTTAATAATATATATCTCTGTATTCTGTCACATATGTATAATGAATATTATCTTTAACATTATGTGCAAATCGTAAATTGTATTGTTCACTAAACCTGGTACTCATAAGTCATACTACAGGTACCTTGTTAAAATTTTACCGTTTGAAAATTAAGAAACAGCACCCTTTAAGCAATGAAACAATATTATGGAATTGTATTCGTAATCAATGAATTATAATAATTATTTACCTATGTTAAATGAGTTACTATGTAATATAAGTAAATATTATATTAAATTTTGTACATATATGTATATTAATATATAGTTTAAAAGACGTCTTTAATATTTTGCTTAGTGCAATATTTGATATTATCAAAACAACTGTTCACAAATCAACAGTATTTATCGATCGGCTCAACTGTTAATTAAATTTTCTTTTATATTAGGTACACGTTATTTTTTATAGATACTTTTATGAGTTTTCACTGAGTGTTGTGGTTTGATAAAAAATTTAATCCAATCTACACTTAAGTTATAACATACACAAATATGAAGACTGTATTTTAAACATAATACAACTAAATTCGATTATCAAGAGATTCCCAAGTGTTCTTATACGTAGAACTTTATAAATTTGTCATTTTTAACGGCATATTATGTCTAATAAACTTAAAACKAAGTTCGTTTCTGTACTTATTTTAAACTGTATACAGTTAATACTCTTATCGCTGTATTCAATACTTGAATCACTCAGTATAAAGTCATTTTACATAACATTAAATAAAATTATACATGAAAATCGGGTCAATATAAAAAAAATCCACTCGAAAACGAATTAAGGTAAAATATGGTGAGTAGTAAAATATCCATCAATCCTTCAAAATGATTATTGGAAAAAAAAAGAGTTCAACTCACTGAGAGTTACCGAACAAATAGTAGGTWCCTAACAATATTTATTAAATTTACCTATAAACTATAATATTAGCATATTGTTTTTGATAAATGTATGACGTATACAACTATTATATTATAATATTACAGATTTATGAAAGAAAAAAAATTATATTTATTATATTTTCTTATATGAAATATCTACTTATTACCTTTTCGTAAGTTTTCATAACTTAACACAAATTCCTTATGAATTCAATTTGTCTTGTATATTCTTATTATAATTACCTATAATATGAGCTTTCTCTAACCAAGAAAAGAAGATGATTTGTCAGATATTCGATATTTTAAAATAATATCCATACTTATAAAATTAGTGTGTGCATATTACGTAGGTACCTACCTACAACCTTACCCAGATATACCTGATAAATATCTGAATTCTCATTGAGCTGTAATTGATAGATTACAACCTACAAAGCGAAATCGCCTAGCTACTTTCATTAGGAATAAAATTACATTTTCGTCTATAGATTTCGGAGGCAGCCATCCGGCCAGACTTCTACGATCATCCACCCATTTCGCTACTGCCGAGAAATCTTATGCACAATGCATTTAATAGCAAAACCATGTACACTTACTAGCATGGTTGTATAGCCGCATCACTAGCATCCGGTCTAGAACGGAACCGACGACGACAACGACCTGCGACAGCGACTCAAATGATGACGTTCTTACTTCTGGGAAGACGTAACCAAGAATTTAATAACCACTCTACTCTTTCTGTTCATAATTTATATGCACATTTATTATTGAAATTTTTAATTTCCTATGATCTACGTATAACATAATATTATAATTTAATAATATATAAATAATATTAAAATTAATAGCTGTATATTATATCTCAGTACCTAGTACTCGTTCGAACCTTATTAATGCCATATTATGATTAAATTTCTACTATAATTATAATCACAACTTTGTTGTTTATGGCAATACATTTTAATATAAATTGATTGAGTTCCCTTGTCGACAAAAACTATTCGCATGTAGAATTGGAACCGTTTAAACATAGGTATATTGAAATGTATAATATTTATAAGTTATAAACTTATAACTGCATTGAAGTAGTTTCCAAATGACAAACTTTAAATATATTTTTATTCGTTTACTCTATGTGATTTATTAAGAATGCAGTTCAATCCCGACTATTTGTATAAAGTATTTAAGTTTTATTACTGTTTTAAAAAGGTTTATAGAGACGATAAAAATTGCATTTCCTTATTTGTGTTACCGATAAATTATACTTTATTTAAATGTATGTACGTATATGATTTATTTTCCAATGCAATTTTAAATCGTACTTTTCTTTTAATCCTATAGATATAATAAAATTACAATACAATAATATGAACAATTTKTATCGATAAATCAAACTATATCAAACTATAGCGTTGATATATATTTAAAATAACTATTCCATAATAAATCTTTAAATGTAACCAAGTCAAAAGTCCAGTATGCAATATTGTGCAAAAGATAATTATTAATAACAACCTAATTTTAGTAATTTCACTTCTGTATTCATATTAAAAATATTGTTTTAGGTATAACTAGTATGAATATGATTGTCTCATTAAATTTTTAATGTAGGTAATTATAAAATACGTATATCATAAAATKATTACTATACTGAATCATTTATTTAACTTAAGACAATCATTCTTTATCGTTATAACTAAAAAAAAGTGTTTTCCAAAAATTTTGTAAAACTTAAAATTATGTAAAAAAATATTTCCAAAAACTTAAGTAATTTCTAAAGAACCTAATTAGTGTTGTATTATGTTTAATAGATCATCCTTATTTTTGATACCTATGTATATATACGACGTATTACGTAATAATATAATCAATTTTACTGCATAATAAAACCTTTTAATCTAAATAAAATTATTATAATATGTTCGTTACTACTTGATACTATCTATAATTTGGTGAATATCAAAGAAAAATCCTCAATCAAAATGTGTTGAAATTTCTAATTATCTTAAAAATAATTAATTGTATAGGTTCAACTAAAAACTAAAATACACTTACCTTTTTGCATCTAAACAAAGCAATGATGGTGATAAGATTTCCAGGAACGCCAACCATCATATAAACCACACAGCATATACTAGCAAATGTTAATAGGGCAGGCGAATACCCTTGAAACAGTTCTGTTTCCAATTCATTTTGCCAGTCGTGGAAGTTAGTAACTTCCGACACATTCTCTTGATGATAAACATCCAACACGCTACGGTTTTTGTCAGTTAAACCATTCTTTGTGTAAAACCAATGCATAGCCCTGTCTCTGATCATTGCGGGTTTAAATTAAAGTCATTAAGACAGAACGTTTAGCAAACGATTAGGTTTCATGATAATACCTGTAAGAAAAAACACAAACCAAACGTTATGTGATAAAAAAAAAATAACATTCTAATGTTATGGCSATACACATGTATATATATTTAACACATGGGTACCTCACGATTCATGACAAATGAGAAAAGCCATGTGCACTATCTGCGGTACCAAACTATCAGTCAACTATTTTTTTTTTTTGACAGAATACATCCAGTACATAGATGAACTCAGCAACTTCTACATTCCCACACCCTAGACGCAGCACTCGGAGCGAATGCAGACACCACCAATCAAGTTTTAATATTTTTAAGAAAATCTAAACTGTACCTACAGTTTAATTTATAGATTATAATTCAAGAAACTTTAATCATTAGTAAAAAATTGTAATTAATATAATAACTAATGGCTGCTGCTGTCAATGTTAACGTAAGATCAATAAAAAAAAATAATAAAAGAAACATTAAATTTTTTTTAAATATCCGAATACAACATTTTCAATTATAAATAGGCATTCAAAGTTTATGTCTCATAATAATTAAATTATTTTGATTGGATTTGAATAATATAACTGAATAAAACACAGAACGAATAAGAAATCTAGTATGGATCTTTGGTAAATTTGATTTCCTTCAAAAATAATTTTATAAATCCTAGTATAAACTTAAAATTATTACCAATTTTCAATTCATTTATAATATAATCAGTAGCTACATAATGATTTTAAAATATTTATATACACGAAAATGCAACAACAGTTTTTCATCTCTGGTTAATGTTCTTACGGCAGTTTGAACAACTAAGAATTTTGAAATCCTAAAAAACTTATATACAAATTACAATCGATAAAGAGATACTTAAAAATCTTTTGAATAACTATAACTGCATAAAAAATGATTWAAAAAAAAAAAAAACGTAATTAAACATTCGAAATATTCGAGGACTAATAAGCTACGAGTATGTATCAAAAAACATTAATCCAATACAATTTATAATTTGTAGATTATCATGATTAATATAGGACTTGTATTATTCATTACCATTCATTAATATCTAGTAAAATATATAGAATAGGTATATTTTATACTTGAAAATAATAAAATATAATATACTATGCTTGTTTTCCAACAAATATTTTAAATGGTATGTACCTACATTCAGAAAATGGTTTTTTTTAATATAATATAGATAATATATATTTACTAAATTAAATAAAACATTTTTAGCAGGAACATGGTGTGGCTGACATAAACGTACACAAAATTACTAATGTATTTCAACTATGATGAAAATGTTCATCAATTTAATACAAACAACTTTTTCTAATAACCAAATAAATTGAGTACCTATCATCAAAAAAGACACACTATGCATACAACATACATTATACAATAATAAACATAACATGCATTTTGTCATAATTATTCATTTAACCGTAATAATTCATATTATCTATCTAATATTAATAGTAAATAATGATATTCATGATCAATAATTATTATTATATGTCACGTATTGTATGAACAAACAAAGTTCATATAATTTAAGCCAATAAAAAATTGTATAAACCATCTGAAAATTGATTTTTTTCACCATCATTAACTGTGTATATCATTTACATTATATAATTAATTTTCATCACTACACTTTGAATAATTTACATTTTACAATAGGTAAACATATTATTACACATAATATTAAAAACTATCTATAAAAAAGGAAGCTACAAAAAATTAATGCATCCAATACATTAAAATATTATATAGATTATTTTTTTTTTTTTAATGGAAATATGAAAAAATCTAACCTGATCAAAAACAATTACAATATGAGGGAAATGCAATCACACACATTAAATATTAAAATATTTCACACTAGCTAAGATATAGTAATAAGCGTAAATCAAAAAACATGTAATAATATTTTAATATCAGAAAAACAAAACATGAAACTCAGATATAATTGCTTTATAACAATAAAAAACTTATATGCATATTATTGATTATTATGTTTAACAAACTATACTGTGTTACCAATAACGGCAATAACCGGTATTATAATATTATAATGATACCAAATTGATGGATGTGAATTTTTTTTTTTTTTTGATAGCAAACGACGTCTTTTGCATTTCGTTTAAATGATTATCTCAGTAAGATTTTAAAATAAAAAAGATCAAAAATCTAAATTGATTGCAACATTCTATACAGAGTGGTTCTAAAATGGATGTGGTCACTATAGTATACGCATACTCACTACTCATAATGATGGCAAACATTTTTTATAATTTTTCTTCATAATCCGGAGATATTCAATTTATTTTTAGAATATTATTTCAAATATATTTAAACGCTTTAATCGTATTTTTTGCAAAACCCATACGAGTCTAAGCGTCATATCGTTTTTGCGCTTGTCACGCGTTTTTCACGCTCGAATCGCCAATTTAAAAAAAAGAGTGGTATGACACATTRATTTTTATGAGAACACTACAAGATAAACAGTGGTGATAGTTATTTTAAGTAATTTAAAGCATATGATCAATTAAGACAGTGTTTTACATTACCAACATCATCTAATAAATATGATGAAATAATAACAAAATTGAAGTTGGCAGAGTCTTAAACGATCGAATTTATCATACATTTAAGTTATTTTAGGTCTAACAGTACTTACGTTATCTGAAAATTAAAAATATTTTAAATTTGTAAATATAAAATATACATATTTTAAATGTTCTCTTTTTCTGATAACATAAGTCCTGTTAAACTGAAAACACTTAATATCTGACGGGTTTCTGTTTTTTAGTTTATACAAATAATATTCGTTTGAAGTTGAAAATACTCTGTGTTAAAAAATTATATAAATTTATTATATATTAAGCTGCAGTATACCACTACTTATGAACCGTAATATTATTATATGATTAATTTATTATGGTATATAATGGTACATTTAAAATTTTTATAGAAAATATATTCTATTTCCAATAATTATTTAATTTTGCTATACTGTCAATTTTGAATTTTCCAATGCACCAATCGCATCAGAAAATTGTCATCGTATCCGGTAAGTAATATAATACAATATTTTAGCATTTTTTAAATAGATACCTATTACGTCAAAATAAAAAATAAAATGTTGAGTGTACACTGCATCAGCTATGGTTTTTTTCGGTGATGAATTGTGAGATAATAGTATATTATTATATTATTATTATACATAAACTTATTACTGTTGACAGTTATTAAAAGGCTCTTAGTTACTCTTRAATTTAATATATTTTCTTATATACTTATACTACTATAAGCAATATAACTAATTTTTTTTTTTTAATATACACCTAATCAATTTAAATTTACTTAAATGCTTAACATTATATGCTAGATGCAAAATTGTATACAGAAAATAAATGTAATTAAAATTAAAATATAATAGGTACTTAGTTTCTTGTAGCTTAACGAAAATAATACAATTAGTCTACATTTTAGTAAGAATGATCGTATAATATTATTAAATTTAATACCTCGTATTAAATTATTAAATCTTCGAAACTCAAATTACAAATMATTCAAAATCAAAACCAGATCAACCAACAATATTTTAACTTAATATTTAACATAAAATAATCAAAACTTGTTTAGAAATCTTAAATCTTACCATAGTATATAATTTAATCAAAAATTAACCCACATTCGAAAGTTTATAGGTCATTCATTGAAAAAATAATTAATAAATTGATTTTGTTGAAATCAAGTAGATCATTATTGTACCTTTCATATTTTTAATGAATTTTCCAATAAACCTACGAAAAAATTACAAAAATTACTTGTTTAAAGAACCATCTATGCCCAATTTTAGATTCACATAACGTTAGAACCCAGAGGTGATATAGGTAATATGAAACTTTTAGAACACGTCCTTCTATTTTATCCCAAATAGTGTATACAGATTTTAAATGTTTTATAACCATAAAAAATACAAATCGTTGAAAATCTAAAAACAATATTATTTCTTTGCTCCTTGAAAATTATAAAATTACACCTAGGTATACTGTATTATGTTGGAATATCCATAAAAAATAAAATGGCTCATGCGTGTAGCAGGAAATTTACTAATTTAATATATTAATACGTGATCCTCCAAAAAATTCTAAAGCATGCAATGTATTAATAAATATTATTCAAATGTAATTTACAGTATGGCTGGAATTATTAAAAGAAATCTAACAGTTTAACAAAAATCAATTAAAAATAATCTACGTCTTACGGTTATCCAGTATTGCTAACTTAAACTTAAACTTCATTGGTTACATAATTATTGTAATTCATCGTACACAGGTGATCATAATAAATTAAAGAATTATCAGAATTCGGCGTAAATTAAATTCCATAATTATTTAATAACAAATAAGCTATAATAGAGTATTATTAATAAATAATAATATAAGAATAAATGGCATTGTGTCTGTAAACGTTTCGAAATATGTAAAAAATTTAAAAGATCACAAGCTATATTTAAAACTTAAATATAGATCACCTGCTATACTTACAATTACCAGGTATAGACCGACAACTACTGAACGAATGGCACAATTAAAATACATTTTAAATCGTAGTGCAATTATAATATCCTATGCTGAGAAAATATAATTCATAGTACTTTTATATACAATGTTGTTCGATGATAAATAATTATTAAGAAATGCTAAGTTTACTACCCTCTTATATACAATATAATCAAAAAATTAACTCACTTAGTCTAATAATAAATCTGTTGGTCTTATGAATAAAATATTGAAAATAAATAGTGGATATTAATTGCAGGAAGTCTTGATTCATACTAAATTTAAATTAATTTTTAATTTTTTCCTAATTTATGAAATCTACTTATTTTTGTTCTACATTATTATTTTATCATTTAACATTCTGAGAAAATTGTATAAATTTATAAATTTGATATTTAATTTTTTAATTTTTATGCGTTTAGTTTATAATGTATCGATTTTAACATTTTAAAATATTACTGTTTATAAAATTTGATATAAATATAAATATCAATAATGTTATACATAACAATAAAATGAATTTGATTATTTGAAATAATTCAATTTTGAGCATTTCAATTATAATGAATTATTTTTGTTTTTCATCAATTTAAAAATTAATATATTTCCTGTACGAATATGAAATTTAATATCACGAAATAAGATTTATTTTAGTCAATGTTTACCAGAGGTAGAATTAATAAGAACAATTTCAAACCGATGTAAAATAATACCTACATCTTATTATTATATAATATTTGTTAATAATACATCTCTTATGATATTTTCATAATATTTTTACAACTACGCATATAATTTAAATAAGTTAAATATATTAAAATAAAACTTTAATTTAACCAGTATCGAAATCAATTTCACATCTCCGAACAAATCTGTCAAGCACTTGGACCAAACCCACAGGATTTAAAAAACTTAATTTTATTTAAAAAAAAAAACAGAGTTGTACAATTTAATTTAATGTAAAAATGTAAATACTTAAAATACTAAAAATGTAACCAAATTAAAAATTCCTTTAGTAATGGCCTAGTTGTCGATGTATTTTGATCAATAAAAAAAGAACTTTAGTTTATTTATAATTAGACATTGTAATATTACAATTATTCGGATAATATTTTTTGAAAACCTTTATAATAATGTTGTGCAATTCCGATAATTTAGTAAATATATTAAATATGCACCTACTATAAATTATGATACAATTTATTTATTGCCCAAATAATATTTAATTTCACGATATCAGTATCGTCATATTGTTTAAATATAAATATAATGAAATAACGAAAAATCATGATTTTCAATTATAAAGTAAAGTAATTTCAGAAAATATAATTACTTATTTCTTAAATTGTTCCATAATTTAACTATAAATTCTTATAGCATGCATAATGGAGCTATTGACTTACGTCTTGGGACTCATAAGAAGTGTTAAATCTTATTGCACTTATGAAAATTGTATTTTAGATTCAATACTTTTTGATAGAATACAGAATAATGTATGACTTTTCATAAAAAGTTTGATTATAATATTAAAACAAATATCGTAATAATTGAATAAAAGAGTACCAAGGAAAAACATCGCGATCGATGAACAAGTTTTTAAGATAGAGCCTTGGCGAATGACGTTTGTACCTCGACGGCTGCGGCGTGACTACCATGTGGTCGTAGGGATTGCTCAACGTTTTCTGTAACAGAGGGCAAAGACCCCCCTACCGGCAAATGTGGCGTTTGCGCACCCCAATAACGGCCGAAACATAGCACACACTACAAAGTGTTAGTGGATAAAAAGGATGTGAATGATCTGTTTAAAAAAATAAGAAAACTAAAAAGTTAAACGCGAGTGATTCATACTGATATCTCATTTATAAAAAATAAATATATTTAAACAAAACATCTCTAACTGCAATATCTTCTTTAATCAACTTTTATTAATGCTAAACATAATAATTTTTTACTTACTCGTATAAAACATAAACCTTACATTTAAACCTTAATTTAATAATCGAGCTATATTAACACAAAAATACTATAAAAATGATAAATTCATCCTCGACTATCATAACCTTCAATAATAGCTCTTCTAGTTCTATTAATCCTTATAATAGTATGATTACTAAAATTATTAAGGACAACTCTATTAAGACTAAGTAAATATTTTTTTTATAGCAACGAACAATTTAATATTTTATCTTTTAATTTATAATCATTCCAAATATTTCAATTGTGCCAAAATATTAGATGAATCCTAAATAAGTATGGCTAAGAAGATGCTACCCATGCGTTTTTTGTCTCCGTCATATCGATATATCAAATTTTCTTTTACTAGTTTTAATAGTGTGCCGTTAGTTTTAATATTAGAGTGAATTGACTTATTATCAAACTTTTAAGTAAGAACATTATTTATTCTGGAGCGTTAGCTTTTATTCAATATTTTAATTTTCAAGCAAGATAATATGTGCATTTATAATTTATGTTATCTTACTTACCCGTGTATTGCTCAACAATTAAAATATCGAAAAAATAGCYGAATATTAAACACAAATATTGTTCTTAYCTAAAATGTTTACAATAGGTCAATTCACTCTTATATAAATACACTGTTGAAACTAGTGAACGAAAATTTGCTGTGTCATACGTTTGTCAGACGAAGACAAAAAACAAAAAATATATAGGTAGTCTTCTCTTAAAGATTATTCTCAAGGAATAATGGTCATCTAAAACTTATAAAACTATGAAAGCATCGTATATCCTAAATATTTCCAAGGAAAAAAATAATATTCGATACAACAGCAAATAAAATACAAAACTATACTATATTTTTGAAATTATAAATCTTTATAAAATTCTTTGTATGTGCATACATTCCGTATACAGCACAAGCAAAATAAAGCTAATTTATTAATGTAATTAGCTGCTTCTAATTGATTACCAATTGATTCAAATTGAATTGTTTATCACGAATAAATCATAAATATATTTGAGAAAATCTAAAACTATTGATATTTTTGTTTGAAAAATATTCTTATCAATACATTCTTGTAAACATTGTAATTTTAAGATAAATGTAGGGAAAATAATTAGTATATGGTACACCCAATACTGGAATATCATTATACAATTTAGACACGAACGAGAGACTTTAAAATAAACTTCATAATATTATTCAATGTATAAGTATAATACTTTAATTGTTTAAAGAGCATAGATTTTAGAATTTTTTAAATTATAACCTCTGATTTTAAATATTTGATAGTACCTACCAGACCTATACATTAATGAATAATTCATAATAACATCACAAGACTTAAATAACTTATTAGCTAAATGTAAATTAAATTTATAAAAATCTGAAACCGTGGAAACTTTAAACATTCCACTATTAAGTACTCAAATTATTATTTATTATACATCATGATAACATTTTAAAAATATTAAAAAAAAACTTTAAGCTATTATTATAGATTTTTTGGATTTTTAGTTTTTTATTAAATTTTAAATTTAAATATTGAGTTGATTTTTTTCAGAATTGCTTTAAAATGTGTTCAAGTCGTTTTTCTAGCAGCATAATATTATTAAAAATACATAGGCACAATTTTGTTTCTTCGCATTTAAATTAAAAATTGGTGCCTAAGCAAAAAGACTGGACGATAATTTATTACTGCTTATAAAATCATAAAGTTAGAATTGAATTGGTGCTATTTTTTTTTTATGTTCATTGAAACAAAGTTTATATATTTACAATCTTTATTTACATTTTATACAATAAGTAAACTTAATGATATTCGATTGACGGGAGGGGAAATTCGCCCAGTGGYAGCGCCCCGTGGAAAGCGATTTAAAGAAAGATTAGGTTCCTTCACCAGTTCCTTTTCAGGCACCTAGATGGATTACCTGGGTTTTGATTGGATGATATTTGAGTGATTATAGAATTTGAGTGAGTGCTAAATGTATTAGTGCTATTTAACGGTATTTATTTAACGGATTTTGTGCACAATCCAGTAAAAAATTTAATGTAGTCTGGAAGTCGTTAATTTCACACACTAAAATATTGGAAATTGAAACAAAACATATTGTAGTCATAAATTGATACTTTTAGCCATAAGTTTCTCTATTATTTTCTATACACAATGAAATAATCGAAAAATTCATATATTTTAAACTATTTAAACTAAATTATAACACATACCCATTTGAGGGTGTTCGCTGAGAACCATGCCCTCCACTATTTTAGTTTAATTGTTTTGTCACTAGTAAAAAAAAGATAGAACAAGCCATGTAACAGTTATAATAATGATAAGTCTATCAGAYAATTTTGTTAGAAAAAAATTTTTTAACTTATTTTATTTGGTACTTAATAATTGAAAAATAAACTACTAAAAGTAGGTACTTATTATAAATAAATTATAACATATCTTGAGAAATAGAGACTAACCAATGTCTTCACTCACAATTGTATTTCGAAGATTTATAATTTGATTAAAATTTAACACGTCCATCACATTGACTTTAACTCAATAACGATTGATTTGCCTATGCTTAAAACGAATTATACGCATTCTTTGATTTTTAAATTAACGGATACATAAAAGTATTATTAGATAAAATTAGTATCAAAAAATTTAAATAAAACAAAAGTATTTTTAGTTCCATATTGGTTTTGAAACCTTCCAATATTAAATCTGTGGTTACATAAGTAATTAATAATGTCAAGGAAAATGTTTAGTATTATAAAAAACTTTTGACTTGTTTGCATAAAAGTTTGAAGTATTAAGGATATTTTTAATTAAAATTAACTATCAAGTTACATTTTTATCATTTTTAATAGGAAACAGCCTTTGCCTAAAATGATTTTAATTTTAATTTTAGTTTATTATATTAAGTTCTGATTAAATGTAACCAATTTTTGGTAATATCTACTTATAGTATTTCAGTTATATTTTAATTTTTTGAAACACTTCAAAACCCATGCTATGTGTTTTTTAATCAATTATAATTATATCTATTTATAAATAAGAGAGAAATAGTTTATTTATTTTTCAAGAATTGTTGGTGATTTGTACATTTCAAAAGTGTATTTTATTATTATTTGGATAGATGTTATTTCATCGAAATTTATCATTACTTTAATGGGTACGATGTTATGGCAACGATGAAATATTCGTACATCGTAGGTATGACAGGCCACAGGCGACATATTATATATCTCGATAATAATTATTATTATTATTATTGGAAACATTATATTTATTATTTATTCGAGTTTTTCTTTACTCTTTAGTTAAGCAATTAAATTTTTTTTAAGTAACGGTTATTAAATAAATTTAAGAAATTATAATTCTCTGGTCATAAAAAAGACCGGTCATTATGTATACTGTGGTGTAAGTGCGTAAAATATGTATRCATAGAGTATAATACATTCAAAAATTTAGTTTTACTATGATTCGAGGAAATATTAAAAAAATCTTCTTCAGCGCACAAGTATTAGCTATAAACTATAGGTGTGAAAAAATATTAAATATAATGACTTAGATAAAATTAACATTTTTCAAATGTAATTATAATTATCTTGTCAAATACCTAAAGGTACAGTTAATTTATAATAAATATAAAATTATTGTTATTATTATTATCTTACTGAACTTTCTTTTCCCACTATTATTAAATAAATTCATCAATATATGCTTAATAAATAAATTGCACTGTACAACAAACTATTTAGTCCCTCAGACTTAGATGAATTATATAATCTATTATAAAGTTTGTATGTGTGACATACCTGAGAAAATCGTTTTCTATGCCGCCAGTCCGTAATTAATCGTATTAGGAGGTTCTGTGTAATTAATCGTATTAGGAGGTTCTGTGTAATTAACCTAGCTTCACCGTCACTAAATAATTATGCACTGGTTAAGTTTTGTTTTTGAAAACGACCAACAGACATAAACACACTTATTTAATAGTTAATGGAGAAAACGATTAGAATCACCTAGACGAAAAGTTAGTAAATCTAGTTGATTCTAAACCAACTATAAATTAATACTTAGTTAGGAATAATCTAGAAACTTATTATAAGAAGTATACATTTTATATAATATGCATATTGTATGTTTGTAAGTATATAACTATCATAACTACCAATTATCATAATAATTAAATTTAAAAATTATACTTGGATAATCTAAGCGTACGCGTCACCGACATGTAAAATTTTTAATAAACTACCTACAGGAACATTTTCAATCAGTTAAATAAAATATGAAAGGTACGTGTTATTATGGAGGTGAATGATTTATTTGAGTTGAGATATAGACATGAGAGATTCACCTTTGACTAACCCAAAGTACTATCTACATTTTTATGATCATAAATATCAATACACATTACACACAATAATTGAATTATTTGCTAATACAATTTTATTTTTAAAGTGAGCAAGGAGGTAACCGCTGTGCAGTGAAAATGAAATCGAGTGTATCTCATTATTGAGTAGGCCACTATAATTAGTGTRTTAATGTTAAATACTTAAAATTTGAATGCAATGATATATAAATGTAGATGAAAAAATATTCTAACTTATATTACTACAGGTATATTATATCATCTAATAATTATATTTCTAATA